AAAATACTGTATAAGAAATAATATACAGAGAAATAAGTCCGTAAATTAACAGAAAATATACAGTTCATTACAAAGTTTTTGTAGTGTAATATACATCACCAACTCAGACAATATATCACTTTAAACTATTAAAAATGTTAATAAAAGTCACTTTTTTGAACTTTTCAAGGTTAAAAGATGCTGGAAGAAAGATCAAATCCCATAATATGAATAATTTGATGTGCATGCCAAGCATTTGTGTGCTGCATACATGGGTTGTTTATTCAGATCTGACCAATCAGAAAGCGTCTCTACTATCTGTATTCTACGGTGGCCGAGAGAGCTTAACAAGCCGCAGTTTAAGAAAACACATGCAATTGCAAAATATGCCAGCAGATTTAGAAAAAATATTTATCTGTTAGACAGCACATGTGCTGCAAATCCTCACAACGCAAACACGCATTCTCACACAGTGAAATCAGTGAATAAAACGCACTGCATTTTCTCACAACGCAAACTAATTATGAAAACGTCTGCAATTTCTCACAACACTTTCAAATAGTGTGGAACACAATGGAAATATTTCAAGGGGACCCTAAAACATGACGGACCCAGCTATTTAGGTTATGGGCTGTCTCTCAATATGCGTTCTTCAGCGATCTTGTGTCCGTGTGTTCTCTTGTAACGTCATCATCGGCTGAAGTTCAGTTCCAATACTCAAGGCTGTAAGAACAGAGGACACGTGAAACTTCCCGGATGTGTTCTTGATATCGAGGACGCACTAATGCAGACTTGAGCACCGAACTCGCTCGAGAAGTCTCAGAAGTCACTGGAAGTGAAAAGCGGAGCATTTTATATAGGTTTATTATTAAGTTCAGAGATTTAACTTATGAGTGGGTGTTTATAGGGTGTTTATTTGCTGAAATTCCTATTAAAATCAGTTTTATTTTTATTGTGCAATGAATATTTGTTAAGTCTTTATGCATCATATATATTTTAAAAAATGTAAAAAAAAACAAAACTATAAATCGTTGTATGAATGCTGTAATGTTTTAAATAATTTTCCATTAAAAATGGTCACGTGACCATCAGGAAGAGCGCAGCATCTTATTTCTCACAGGACGCGTTATCTGTTCTCGTGGTCTCCTGAGTTCGTTCTTCCGAGGACACCTGGCAAGACCGGTCTCCACAAGAACGCAAGTCCGTTCTTTGCGTTCTTGGAATTGAGAAACAGCAATGGTTATTTAGGCCAGCGGTTCCCAATGGGGGGTCCTGGCCCACAAGGGATGCCTCAGCGAGCTCTGTGGGGGGCCAGGTCATAATGTTCCAGTTACTATGAGCATTTATGTGAAGCTGCTTTGACACAATCTACATTGTAAAAGCGCTATACAAATAAAGCTGAATTGAATTGAATTGAATATTTTAACATTTTTTTTAGCAGTGGACAATTAGGAGAACATTCATGTTGGCTTAGTTCATTTCATCCCCTGACTGGTCCAAAAAAATGGACAAATTGGACAGACACAATGCAGGAAATACTAAGATAGCCTGAACTATGGTTTTATTCCATTTTCCCTGAGCCCAACACAGTGCATTATCTGCGCCAAAGTTCTTGCTGACAAATGTATGAGGCCATCTAAATTAATAAGATATTTGCAGACGACTCATTCTCCACACCGCGACACGCCCAGAGCAGTTTTCGACCCCAAGGCGTAAAGGCTTACATTGTTTTGTTACAAAAGGCCTACTGATGTTTTGCTTTTATATTTTACATTAGGCTATTATTTGTGCATAAACATTCCTGGATATAGTAATAAACATACAGTTTGAAAAAAAAAATGGACGAAAAAAAATGTCATCCTTACTGCGAACTTATATGAGCGATAATAAACTAAATGTGGAGGGAGCTTTATACTATTTTATTATATAATATTTATAATATGCCAGGTTAAACGGGGGTCTCAGGCAAAAAAAAAGGTTGGAAACTACTGATTTAGGCTAATAAAATACAAAATATAACGGATCAAAAAATTAACAAACAAAAAACTCACCTTTCAACGATTACCTACAGCTTCAGTGAGCAGTAGTCAAGGAACAGCTGCATCTGTCACGTTTTTAGGTTCCGCTTGACATTGTGTTCCTTTATTTTGCAAGTGTTGTGAAAATTGCCGGTGTTTTCTCTATTTGTTTGAGTTGTGAGTAAACGCAGCATGTGTTCTGTGGAATGGTTGAAGATCTTTTCTTAATTTGCTGGGGGTTTTTCGTAATTGCATGTGTTTTCTTACACTGCAGCACGCTAAGCTCTGTCAGCCACCATATATTCTCCAAAAAATTAAACATGTTCTTTTGTATTATTTAATTATGTTTATAGTTTAATATCAAGATGTGCATGCTAGGTTTTATTACAGAAGGACAATAATAATAATAATAATAATGATAATAGTTGCACTTATTTAAAAAAATGTAATTGATTTAATCACATACAGACACACACACAATAATATAATAATATTATCATAGAGAAAAAAACTTACCACAAACTTGGGTTCGGAAGTTATTTCGGAAGGCTATTAAAAATGAAATGTTAAAGTAAAAAATAGTTACATGTAATATTTATAGTAAAACTAAGTTTAATTATTTGAATTATTAATAAATATCAAAAATGTTCTCACATATTTCCAGAGAAAATAAATTACTCACCATTTCATCTGTTCACTCAGATATCAGTGTATTCCAAAAAAAATATGTATTTATGGTCCCACAAATCATTTCTAGATTAAAGATATTTTTAAAAATGTAGAATTATAATTGCACTGTAAGAACAGAAATAAAACCAGCAGGGATTCACCAATTTCTTCTTTAAAATAAGTGCCGTTTACAAATGATCAATCGTGCCTACTCAAAAAGCGACTTGTCATGAAAGATTTTGTAGAAAGAAATGAGCAGATGTCATCTTTTAAATAAATGTGTGTCAATGGTTACCTGCTGTTTTTCCATTTCTCGTTCCCTGATTGGAGACTTATTGATTGGTGATTGATTTCTGGGCTTTATGGGTCTTTAAGGCATGACATGTGACCCTGTGCAGGAAGTTGACATTAGACATCGCATTTACTTCTCCATCCATTAGCATGTGATGTGTGGTGAAACGTGTATAATTGTTGTTTTGTCACACACTGATCGATTATTCCACCATCCTGAGTCAGTAGTTATGATTAAATAGCAAATGCATGCATACATTTACATTAATAATAAAAACTATGATTATCATAATGCAGATGAATCATTTTATTCAGCCGTATTATTTATTGCTCATCGGTTTATTAATTGAAAATAGCAGAACAATAACTGAAGTGAAAGAAAGGCAGAAAACTGAAATGTAAAAGATAGAAAAACATTTTAAAAAATGAATGTGGACTATCTAAAGTGCATTTTAAAAATCTCATCAAAATCAGCAGCATTGAGATACATTCAGGGAATAAATATTCCAACAATAAATTAAATATTATATGAAATGTTGAGTCTAGTTAATGCAAATTAGTTTGTATATGAAGCCATTTCTACGTATCAGTTTAGGCTCTAAGATACAAAAATGTTTAAGGAGTTTATAATAAAGAAAAAATACGTCCTATTTTCTTTTCTACTCTCTATATCCCATACCAAAAAACAGGCTAATTTTACATTTTAAACAGCAGTTTTACCATTGTTGAGTGATTTCAGCTGATCTAAGGGTGAGGTGGAAACACTTTTAGCTTAGCTTAGCATAGATAATTAAATTAGATTAGACCATTAGCATCTCAGTTAAAAAAAAATTTATTAAATAAGATAATTTTCCTATTGATAGCTTCTCTCTTTTGTAGTTACATCGTGTACTAGGACTGATGGAAAATTAGTAGTTGCTATTTTTTAGCCCGATATGGTTAGGAATATGCTCTCATTCTGGCGTAAAAATCAAAATCAGTGTAATAGTAACTTTTCATTTCATGAATTGAAATATTATCAAAACTCTTTTGTCATTTTTAATTGACGTGCTAATGGTCTAATCCGATTCAATGATCTATGCTAAGCTAAGCTAAAAGTGCTCCTGCATATCAAGATGTGCATGATAGGTTTTATTACAGAAGTACAATAATAATAATAATAATAATAATAACGATAATAGTTGCACTTAATAAAATTGGTTTAATCACACTCACACACACACACTATACTATAATAGTAATATTATTATTATTCCTAAAAGAAACAACTTATCAAAAACTTCCGAAGTTAATTCAGAAGGCTATTGTAAAATTACAGCTAAAGTAAAATATTGTTCTACTGTAAAAGTTGCTATTTTTAAAGATGTGCATGATAGTTTTTATTACAGAAGACAATAATAATAATAATAAAAATAATAATAATAATAATAAAAATAATAATAATAATAATAATAATAATAATAATAATAATAATGGTAATAGTTGCACTTATTAAAAGATTTAATTGGTTTTATCACACTCACACAAACACTATACTATAATAGTAATAATATTATTATTCTTTAAAGGAACAACTATTCTCAAACTTGAGTTCAGTCATTAATTCAGAAGGCTATTGTAAAATATATGATAAAGTAAAATATAGTTATACAGTAAAAGTTGCTATTTATTAGCCCGATGTGGCTAGTAATATGCTCTCTTTCTGCCGTAACAATCACAATCTGCATAAAAGCAACTTTTCATTTTACAAATAGAAAAACTATTAACACTCTTTTGTCATTTAAGCGAGATGCTAATGGTCTAATCCGATTCAATGATCTATGCTAAGCTAAGCTAAAAGTTCTCCTATCAGACCCGGAAATCAGCTGAATGGATTAAAAATGGTAAAACTAAACTGTTTAACCCTAGGAGAACTATAACCCCCCCCCCCCCCTTTCAAAAAAAAAAAGTGTTCACTGACAGCAGTTTTTTTCCATTGGAGTTCGCTAAATGTCTCTTCCAATATGCGTTCCAACTGATCATGTGACCACATCTCATTTGCATAAAGTCTGCTCAGTTTATTTAATGCTCCCGTCTCTTCAAATGGCCGTCAATGCAATCGTCCGTCCCTTTTATCACTCTCTCATGTGCATTTGCATTTGGAAGGCACACGCTCGGTCTCTCCTCCTGTCCCGCTCTCTCCATCGGCCCAAACACATCTTACTCTTCCTCTTCATGGCCGCTTTCAGTGGCTGCTCTTCATATGTCAGGCTCTTGCTGGTCTCCTGCGGCAGGTCGTCTCGCGTCCCAATACTCTCCATTTGATAGCCCAAGGGGATGTTTTTGGTGCTGCCGGTGTGTTTAGGGCGGGGCCAGGACAGAGTTTGGACACTCCCTTCGCTCTGATTGGGTGAGTCCCACACCTGAGCCGTGTGCACCTGCTCAAGCAGATCCTGGAGCCACATGCGCCTCTTCCGGTCATGCAGAGAGCGGCTCCTGTCGTGCATCATCTGAGCGTGACCGACTGAACGCCGTCTGGAACATAGACACAAAATTGACTTCTAAATTCTAAATTTGACATCTAAATTTGCAATGTTTATTTTATTTTATTAAATAATTAATAATTTATTCATTCATTCATTTTTCTTTGGCTTAGTCCCTTATTTATCAGGGGGCACCACAGCGGAATGAACCGCCAACTATTCCGGCATATGTTTTATGCAGCGGATGCAATTTGAGCCCCAACCCAGTACTGGGAAACACCCATACACTCTCACGTTCACACACACTCACTCATACACTAAAGACAATTTTGATTATCCAATTCTCCTATAGCGCAAGTGTTTGAACTGTGAGGGAAACCGGAGCACCCAGAGGAAACCCACGTGAACATGCAAACTCCACACAAAAATGCCAAATGGTCCAGCCGGGACTTGAACCAGCGACCTTCTTGCTGTGAGCCAACAGTGCTAACCACTGAGCCACCATGTTGCCTGGATAAATAATCAGTGAGCATTTGCTTCTGCGTTTCGAGTGGCAATCCTTCTGTTCACGTCAGCTTGATGGCTTCCATAGCAACTGCTGAGGAATATTCTTAACCACGCCCTTATTTCAGTTATAAGCACATCAACATACTCAAATAAAAGTCAGCAACTTCAGGTTTAAGGCGAGGCACTAAAGGCGAAAATTTTATTTTTTGTGAAGTGACTTTATTCTAATGTAAAGAAAACCTCCTAAATTACAATTTTAAGGGTTTATTTTAAGCTTTTACAATTTGTGTCTGTAGATTTCAGTTGAATAAAATGGCTCGTTTGGCTATAAATGTACCCTTCAGCAGCGCTCATATAAATAAATCAAGAGTTTTGAACCTGATTTTATCCAATGTTCAGATTTTTGTGCTTATTTGCATATTTAAACGTAGTATTTAAAAAATTGTAATTTAGAAAAAGTTTTTACTTTTTATGGCTGTTTGGAGTAGGGTTGTCCCGATACCATTAATCACCTTACGATACTATATCAGCTGACGTATCACAATACCAAATATATTACATTAATTGGGAAGCAAATAAAATATATTTTACCTGTTATAATAGCTTTACTTGAATTTAATTCATAATTCCTTTATTATTAAAATAATTATTATTAGCATGTCACTTCACCTAATTTTTTTTTCTTTTTTTTGTTTATTTTGCAGATAACTGACCAACAAAAAATACATTAAAATAAAGATACAAACTATACCAAATAAAATTTGTTGCAAAAAGAGCATTTTTCCAACAAAATTAGGCTTTATGAAGTGGTCAAAAAGTGTTTTAATGTTTCCTGTTGCCATTTTAAGTTTTTTATCTATTGTTTTTTTTCAGTCTTCTCAAGTGACCATCCAAAGTAATTAAAGCAGGGTTCTTACGGGTGCTGGAAATCCTGGAAAATGCTTGATTTTTAATAGAGTGTTTTCAAGGTTAGAAAAGTGCTTGGATTTTGGACAAAGTGCTTGAACCTGCTTGAATTTGCAGGGGTTGAAATTGTGACTGTTTTGGTTGCATATGCATACAATTTTGTCTATGTGACCTCAAAATATATTTGGGAGCATTTGTGCGAGTGCATAAATTGTTGTCGTGCGACCAGTTTACATTGCAAAATGTTCAGCACATGCGCGCATTTATGGAGCTAATAATAAGCCAAAACAATCTGATGTTGAATTGTGTTAAATTGAATTATTAACATTTGTAAGTTAATAATACTGATTATGTCCTATTAGAAATGTTTTTAATTCGTATTTTTTAACTTGATTATTGAGGCTAAATTGTCCATAGTGTTTGTGTGTGTGTGTGTGTGTGTGTGTGAATGTGTGTGTGGATGTTTCCCAGAGATGGGTTGCGGCTGGAAGGGCATCCGCTGCGTAAAAACTTGCTGAATAAGTTGGCGGTTCATTCCGCTGAAGGCGACCCCGGATTAATAAAGGGACTAAGCTGACAAGAAATTGAATGAATGAACTTGATTATTGAACTTCTGAAATTTAAGACAACTTAATTTTTTAAGTCAGATTTTTAAACCTGAAACGCCAATCCAATCACTGCAAAAAAATAGCAATGCACATGAAATATCATGAACGACTGATCATGAAAGTTTGGGACTACACCCAAACAAAATCTGACTGTAAGATCATTTCACAAGCGTACTTCATCGAATAACTAAAATTTTTAAAATGTATTTTTAAAATCATTTTGGCTAAACTATCCCAATAAATCTATGCTATAAAGTGCTCAGCAATTTTTTGTTTTTTAAAATAGCACAATGGATTTGTGAAAAAGTACATACAACATATGTAAACGTAATTAACCGTGGTTATTAGGTGCTGGAAAAGCATACAATTGCACCTTGAAAGTGCTTGAAAAGTGCTGTAATTTGAAGTTGGAAAAGGTGTAAGAACCCTGTTAAAAATTTCACTTTGTGAGTCGTTCTTCATAAGAGATTGCTGCGGTTGTTGTAGCTACTAAATCATATTGACAGGAACAGAACCGATTCAGGAGTGCGTTTGAAACGTCAGAAAACGTGCAACCTTAAAGAACTCCACAGACTATTAAAATAAAATGGTCTATTGTTGCACAAACGTGTCAGCATTTTAGTGACTACTTCACATGCAACCTTATGTATTGTGGATAGAATGTTAATGACAGTCTTTTGGAGCCACAGTATGAGTATTGCCATACTACCGGTAACCGTGCAACCCTAGTTTGGAGAATTTTTTTAAAATTATAGAGTGATAAAAAAGACGTTCCCAAAATCTCTTGTAATAACATCGACTCTTATGTAAGTAAATAAGTTAGTAAATAATAAATTAGAATAAAGAATTTGGGACCTAACTTCATCCAATGTTTAGAGTTTTGTTCTATAAATGTATGCAAATTAGTGCATATTTAATTCCTATTTGCATATTAATTCATAAATTTTCTTATTTCTCATTTATTGGCATATGTTTTACGCAGCGGATGCCCTTCCACCCAATACACAGCAAGAAGGTCGCTGACTCGATCCTCAGCTGGGTCAGTTAGCATTTCTGTGTGGAGTTTGCATGTTCTCCCCGTGTTCGCAGGGGTTTCCTCCGGGTGCTCCAATTTCCCCCTAAGACGTGCTATAGGTGAATTGGGTAAGCTAAATTGGCCATAGTGTATGAGTGTGAATAAGCGTGTATGGGTGTTTCCCAGTGATAGGTTGCAGCTGGAAGGGCATCCGCTGCGTAAAAAAATATGCTCGATTAGTTGGCGGATCATTCCACTGTGGCGACCCCTGATTAAAGGGTGTAAGCCAAAAAGGAAATGAATGAATGAGACATAAACACTAGAAATATTATACAAATTATTTATCTAATTCTTAATGTAATACATCTATACTTACATACACCAATAGTATAGTTTTATTAATATCTATATCCTGAGGGGTTTTATTCTCCAAAAAAAGGGTAATGTGATAAAAAGTGACTCCTAAAATCTCCTCTGTGGAAACTTTTGCTCTTTTTATAAAAAATATCTAATATCTAATGTTTAGATTGGCGTGCCAGAAAATTAGCTTGAGATTTAAAACATTTAAAACTAAGTGTGATACAAAAAAATTATTCTTAATGTAATCGATCTGAATTGTGGTGATAATTATTAGTTATTTTCCTGTTTAAACCTAATTCACTGTGCAAAAGTGTATTTATTTAGCATTGGCTTTCCGAAAAATGTGGCATCCTCTTCTATCACCAGCAGATGGCAGCCTCAATTCAGCTGTGTGATGCTTCATTATTCAAGATCTCGCAGAAATCAGTCTTCGGTGTTAATATAGTAAAGGAAGTCCTGACTTACTGTCTGCTGCTGGGAGCATTAGTGGCTCTGGACTGGATGGGTATCGGGATTGTTAGCAGGAACACAGCAAAGCCCCAGTGCCTTAACATACTGCCGGACAACTAAACACAAGACAGTTCAAAATTCAACATTTTTATAGTGTTTTGGTAGTATTCTGCATGTATTCCTTAGAAGTTTAGTTCATTATTATCATTATATTATCATTTGTAAATCTGCATATATAAATAAAACGCTAAACAAATATAGGAAGACTTTATTTATTGCACATTTTTTAGTAATTTACAGATGTAATTGTTTTAATGTTGTGTTTTGAAGGATACTATTACAAAATAACTTGACTTAAACTAGTATTTTTAGTAACTTTCAGAAATCATTTGTTTATATTGTGCACTGCAGAGTAAATAGCAAAAAATATATACATATAAACCTCAATATTTCATGAATGTTTACTCTTTTTGATACTTTTAACCATGTACATGCATTTAAAAATATACTTTTAATGTAAAAAAAATGCACTTGAATTTCTATTAGCTTGCACTAAAGTGAATTCAATTAAACTGTGCCCAACACATAAATTAAAATAGCAAATGAATAATTATTATCATTTAATAACACGAGGAATACTGCATTGAAATGCTGCTTACATTGAAAATATACTCACATGTAATGCTGTTTCTCAGTAGATCAGTTATTACCGCATGTTACTGATGTTTTACAGCTGTTGAAGGCCAGCATGTGTCTGTACATTCATTAAACCGCGAGCATCAGCTGAAATCAAGCATGTTAATATGTCCAAACTCCAGTGGTCCAGAAGAAAACCCGTCCTGTGTGTCCGTCCAGAGCTCTTGAAGGAATGATGAACAGATTTATTGCACCGCTGGGTCGTGTAAGTCCCCTTTGGTGTTCAGACTGGTATGGGCAGCAGGCGTTACAGCTGTGTGTGTGTCTGCTGCCCATGAGTGCCAAAGTGTATACCAGACTGACAAACCACACACACACTCCAAGAAATGCACAGGGAGACACCTTCATTGGAAACAGGGTGGTACACCGCCCTCTCCCACTCACAAATACACACACACACACACACACACACACACACATGCAGAGCTCAGATTTGGCCAGTAGGGGAAGCATTTCACAAAGCGGGACCAGTGATCTCTTCTAAATTTTGCTTGTTTGATTGTACTTTTCTTTTAAACTGGTCCTTTATATAAGATGCAAAATAAGTCTGAGCTGTCCCCAGAGTGTGTGTGGAAGTTTCAGCTCAAAATACCACACAGATAACGCTTTATAACTCTTTGAAGCTGCGCCTTTTAGGCTTTGAGCCAAATTGTGGTGTTTTGGTGACTGTCGCTTTAAATTCAAATGAGATTGTGCTCTTTTGAAAAGAGGGCGGAGCTACAAATGCCTGTGCATCAGCATAGCGGCAGATTCAAAACAGGATCCGTGTTATCTGTGTGAAAAGCTAAAAACGTCAAAAGAAGTGTCTTAGAATCCATCAGTCTATGGAGAATACAGTGTTCATTTGTGCATCCTAAAACTCATTTATAATAATTAGTTAGGGGGACTTTTATTTTACATTTCGTTAACTGTGCTGATCCTAAACTTCCGGGTTTCTTTCCACCGCAGCCTCACTTATTTCGTTTTTTAAATTAGCAGCAATGTGAAATAAGCGTATGAGGCACGGACTATTTGCAACAGAAAGGAACCAAATGTCAGGGTTGGTGAGGGGAAATGGGGGAAAAAGGAGCGAGGACTCAAGTGCAGGAAAAATGGGAATTTATTAAATAATAATAATAAAATAAAATGCAAAATAAACTACCCCGAGGGGGAAAACATTAACAAAAAAAATGCATACACATACAAACAGGACTGGGCAGGCTGGCAAGGATGAGGACTGGAAACACGACAGGACAAGACTTCAAACAACAACATGTGATGATGAACTGGCACAGGACAGCAAATGTGAGGGGTATATAAACTGTAGAAAATTAACAAGGAGGGTGGGACAAGACAATAGACGGGAGAGCGCATGACACAGATAGACAACACAAGCCATGCGCTCACTTAACAGGACAAGAACATGCAGCCAATGAGAGAACTCATTAACCGCAAGTTCATGACAACAAACACAACACTGAAGCACATGATAAAAGCACGTGACCACAATGTAAACACCGAGCCACGTGCTTTGAAAAGAGACGCAAGACACGAGCACACGATAGAACACCTTACCGTGCGCTCACACATAAGCAACACGCATGCTTCATCTCAGCGCCAACCAAAACTGAAACCAACTAGACGGAGGCGCTGAGAATAAAGCAGCGCGCTGCTGACAAAACAAACACAAACACTAGTACAAGAGCCACATCAAGCGGCAGCGCGCACACTCTGCGTACACCCACGATGGCGCGCGCACGCACGCACGCACACAGAGACAGAAACAGGACCAGACATGAGTAGTGTCAGAGCTCTGCCACCAAAACAAGAATTTACAAGACCAAAGTGGCAGAACCCAGGGTGTAGCTAGACCAGGGGTGGGCAAACTTGGTCCTGGAGGGCCGATGTCCTGCATAGTTCAGCTCCAACACTAATCATACACACCTGAACATGCTAATCAGTGTCTTCAGGATCACTGGAAATCCATAAACAGGTGTGTTTGATTAAAGTTGGAGCTAAACTGTGCAGGACACCGGCCCTCCAGGACCGAGTTCGCCCACCCCTGAGCTAGACTCTAACTGAACGCTACTGGTTTACAGAGTATTGTCACTTGAAAATATATTTGGTTCCACACACGAACCCATGAAACAATTAAGTTAACTTATTAGTTAAGTGGATTGAACATAAAACAATTAAGTTGTTCCCAAAAACACCTAAAAAAGTGTGTTGTTTTTGAATAAGTAGCTTGAACTACTCAAATTAAATTGAGGAAATGTTTAAATATCAGCTTTTGGCATTTCATTCCGGAAATTTTGACGGTTTCGATTATTTATACGCTGCCGAATGCTTGATGATCATGTTAACTTATATGCGTGTAAACAACAGATCATGAGAAAGTAGATTATCTTCTCGTTTTATTAGCGCCCCCTATTGTATTGAAAAAAGCACTATTTTAGAAAAACATTCATTCATTTTCCTTCGGCTTAGTCCCTGGTTATCAGTGGTCGGGTCGCCACAGCGGAATGAACCGCCAACTATTCCAGCTTATGCTTTACTCAGCGGATGCCCTTCCAGCTGCAACCCATCACTGGGAATACTTCTGACTGTAGAAATGAAAATAAATCCGTTGCATACTGTACCATCCAATACTAATCAAAGGAAACTAATTGGTCAGGTGGACGCAGTCTGCTGTGTTTGGATAGTCAACCACTTCATTAGTCCATTACTCAGCTTACAGAAGTTACAGTTACCGAAATGTAAAATAAAAGTCCCCCTAACTAATTATTAGAAATGAGTTTTAGGATGCACAAATGAACACTGTATTCTCCATAGACTGATGGATTCTAAGACACTTCTTTTGACGTTTTTAGCTTTTCACACAGATAACACGGATCCTGTTTTGAATCTGCCGCTATGCTGATGCACAGGCATTTGTAGCTCCGCCCTCTTTTCAAAAGAGGATCTCATTTGAATTTAAAGCGACAGTCACCAAAACAACACAATTTGGCTCAAAGCCTAAAAGGCGCAGCTTCAAAGAGTTATAAAGCGTTATCTGTGTGGTATTTTGAGCTGAAACTTCCACACACACTTTGGGGACAGCACAGATTTATTTTACATCTTATATAGGACCAGTTTAAAAGAAAAGTACAATCAAACAAGCAAAATTTAGAAGAGATCACTGGTCCTACTTTGTAAATTTCTCCCCCTGCTGGCCAAATCTAAGCTCTGCATGTGTGTACTCAGTGGATGCCCTTCCTGCTGCAACCTAGTACTGGGAGATACACTCTCACATTCACACACTACAGCCAATTTATTTTATTCAATATATAGCGCATGTGTTTGGACTGTAGGGGAAACCGGAGCATCCGAAAGAAACCCACTTTAACACAGGGAGAACATGCAAACTCCACACAGAAATGCCAACTGACCTAGTTGGGACTTGAACCAGCGGCCTTCTTTCTGTGGGGCGACGATGCTAACCACTGAGCCATCGTGTCGCCTCTAAAAACACATTAACAGAAGTTAAATGTCTATTCAAATGGACAAAAGATACACACTAACACCAAAAAATATCAGCATTGTACTGACCACCTAGCATTGGTCTTTAGCTGCATGGAAATTGTATGCAGTAACTCTGAGGAACATTATAGCTCATAGCTGAGACCATGAGACCCTCCCTTCCCAAAACATGGGTGAACCAGGGTGAAGAAAGTAAACAGTTTTGGCTGACCACTGTCCCAAGAGATTATGACCATAACCTCAGTGAAATCAAGCCTGTGGGTGGGTCCGCTCGCCTCCTAAGCAAACGTAATGGTCAAGGTGGTTTTCAAGGAGCCCACAAAATAGCACCGCTTCATATATGGGTCTCGGGGCAAGAGGTTCACAACATAACTAATGCTCATCAACTACAAATTACTTCTGTGCGACACTAAAATATTCCATATATTTCCATGTTTATGGGGCAGAGCGTACATTGGAAAATAAACTGTCTAAGCTTTCAAAAGATGTTTTGCTTTTTAAAAAATAGAAATTTACACTCAAGGCCACTTTATTAGGTACACCTGTCCAACCGCTTGTTAACGCAAATTACGAATCACCTAATCACATGACAGCAACTCAATGCAGTCAGTCATGTAGACATGGTCAAGACGATCTGCTGCAGGTCGAGCATCCGAATGGGGAAGAAATGTGATTCAAGTTACTTTGAATGTGGCGTGGTTGTTGGTGCCAAACGGGCTGGTCTGAGAATTTCAGAAGCTGCTGATCTACTGGGATTTTCACGCACAACCATCTCTAGGGTTTACAGTGAATGGTAGAATCAGAATTTAGCACCAACAACATGAAAGTATGAATCCATCCTGCCTTGTATCAGTGGTTCAGGCTGGTGGTGGTGGTGTAATGGTGTGGGGGATATTTTCTTGGCACACTTTGGGTTCATTAGTACCAA